CCAGGGCTCCTTCCACCTGGAACACAGTAGATGCTTAATAAGTATTTGTGAAATTAACAAGTGAAGCTTCCTCTCCCACCTGAACCTAAGGCAGACCATTCCTGTCCCTTCACAGGAGGCCTAAAGGAGGTAGACAGCAATGCACAGAGCTGCCACCTGCCATACTCTCATTGAGGAATCCCAGACTCCTCTGTGGAAGCACGCTGTTGGATGATCCCATAGTAGGAGGGACCTGCCCTCATCACATTGGTCCAGGCCCCAGCCTGAGGACACTGAGATGCCCCTACTGAAGAAGAAGGTGGCCAATTCTCTTCTGCTTTACAGCCTGAGGCAATAATTTCCCTTGGGAGTATCACAGTGATGATGACAGTGGAACTGGGCCGTGATGATGACAGTGGAACTGGGCCTTGATGGTTGAATAGAAGTTCACTACGTAGAAAAGTTAAGGGACACACATCCTAAGCAGGAAAGACAGTACATGTAGTGACACAGAATATGAAACAGATGGCATATTTACTGAAAGGCAAGCAGTCCTAGTAGCTACCTCTTAGCAGGGAGACACCATCTTGACCTGAGAAGCAAAGTCCCCAATACTCAAAGTGCTTATGGGTCCTCATTTGGCTTTAGAGCCATACAGGCCCCTACTCAGCAGGGAGAAAGTATTATTCATGCTGGTCTGTTCTCATCCACTTCTCTATAACATCAGGACACTGGGTCCCAATGTCTTGTCCACTCACCTGACCAAAGGCAGCCTCTCCTTTGCTGGGCCTAGGTCCCATCCTCATGCTCAGTCCCCAATCTCTACCAGGTAGCTCCTCCATCCTACCCTCAAATCCATAGAATCCTAGAAGTATAAAGGGTCTCAAAGACCATTAAACCCCCTCTCTGTCAAGATAGGGCAGGTGTGGCCCAGAGTCGGGCAGGACTTGCCCAAGGTCATACAGCAGAGCAGACCTCAAACTCAGGTGTGCCTCCACAATGCCAGGTCAGGGACAGTCTTTCCTGAGTGAGTTGCCAGCAGGGAGGTTCCAGTGAGCTCATGGGATTAAGCCTGCTGGGTCTGGCAGGGTAGAGAGAGGCTACATATAGGCCATTTGCTTCTCAATTTTTAATATCAGAACTATCCCATTCCCACCCGAGATACTTCTATTGTCCATGAGAAACCCTCAGGAGAGATGCCTGCCCCCGTCCCAAAACTTGTCCTGTCCAAGCTTCTACAGCAATTAATCCACTCCATAGTCAGGAATAAAGTGTTCCTGGGGGGCGCAAATGGCTATGCACTACCAACCACAAGGTTGGTGGTTCAAACCCACCCAGAGGAGCCTGGAAAGAAAGGGCTGAAGATCTGCTTCTGAAAAGTCACAGCCTTGAAAATTCTGTGGGGTGCAGTTCTGCTCTGACATACAAGGGGTCACCATGAGTTGGAACTGACTCAATGGCAACTTGTTTTGGTATAGTCAGAAACATCTGTTGTTGTTGTTGTTATATGCAGTCGAGTCGGACCCGACTCATAGCGACCCCTCCTTGGGTTTCCGAGATGGTGTCACTACAGAAGTAGATTGCCCAACCTTCCTTCCAAGGAATGGCTGGTTGGTTTGAACCACCAGCCTTCTGATCAGCAGTCAAGTGCCTTAGGCACTATACCACCAGAGTGCCTCAAAAACATCTAGCATCACACTATTTTGTTTGGCAAGAGTGTACCTTGGAGGCAAAGGTCTACTGCCATGCTGTGAATATCTCTTCCACAGGGTGGGGACCTTACCTGTCTTGTCCCGCAGGTATCCTCATCACCTTGAACAGTGCCTGGCATTGTATAGTAGATAATATGTCTTTTTCAAATGAATGAAGCTGAGTGACCTTGAGCAACTTACTTTCACCCTCTGGGCCTATCTTTCTCACCTATAAAGGGTGGTAACTCCCTCCCTCACAGGTTGTTGCGAGGACAACGGAAGAAATTTGTGAAAATGCCTGGCTCATAGCAGCCTTCAAGTTACTTTTCTTCCCCTTGAAATTAGGCACAACCGTGCCCTCCTTCCGTACTCTGTTCACCTCTTCCAGAAAGCCTCCCCTGGTTGTCTATTGGGCTCCAGTCTGGCATCTGTCCCAGAAACACTTCCTCCCCACAAACTTGTCTGGAGTCCAGTTGATATTTCTGGAAAATATGGATTCCTGTTTTGTTTTGATGTTTCACTTTATATTATGCCTGAGTCCTCCTGTCGGACAAAGGTAAGATTCCACTTTCTGTGGAGCCTGCTTAATAATAATTAGCATCACAGCATCTGACGTGAGTTGTTTTCTAAACATCAGTTGGGATGAACCTAGTTAATGCCCAAGTCCTCAGCATCACAACAGCAGGACCTTACTGCCATCTGGACTGTACTCCATAGTTCACAAACCACTTGCATGTCTGTTGTCTAATATGATCCTTGAAACACCCCTCTAAAGCCAGGACTTATTACCCCTATTTCACAGATAAGGAAACTGAGGCTTGGATGGAGTTAGTAACCTGCCTGTGTCATGTGGCATGAAAGGGGCAGACCAGGGCAACAGAGTTGTTCTGACTAGAGCCCAGTTCTTTCCCCAACACGGGGTCATTAAACTCATAAAACAGTAATGGCAATACGTAACTTCACTTGCATATAATTTTCACATCTTGGACAGACAGAAGAGTCACAGACTCATCAAGCCAATGTCCAGCCAGAGGGTCACCCCTCTCTCCCCCAGGAGACAGTAATGGAATTAGCAAGCCCCTAGAGAGGAAGTGTTTTCTCTAATGTCACAGAGCTTGCTAGTCACTGAGCCTGACTCTGATACTCTTCTTGCTCTATTAAGTTCCCTCATTTCCCTCCGGGCCTCAATTTTCCCATCTGCAGAGTGGGTTGGATAATAAGATCTTTAAACCTTACCACCTTGCTCTATGTCCATGAGAGAGTGCCAGTTTTGGAAGCAGATGATCTGGGTTTAAATCCCAGTTTGGATAATGATCTCCCCCAAGGGCCCCTGACCTCTCAAGAATGTTCTATCCCCCACATCCCCCACCTTCCCCAATCTCCATTCTGAAAATTCTCCCTAGAAAGAGTTAAGCCTTCTTTGGGCTTCCACTCCTGGCCAGTGGTGCCAGCGGAGATTAGAGAGATCGGATTTATTTTTCTCAATAAACAGAAAAGAAGTTAGGCCAGGCCGGTGACAAGGAAACAATTGGAAGAATGGGAGGCTGGAGCAAAAGGGAGCGGGACCTTCCTCCAGCCATACCCCAGGCCTCCTTCAGACCCGGGGAAACAATAGCCAGGGGCAGGGAGGTGTTGGCCACACACGTGGGCTCCAATCAGGCCAGCCTGCTGCCCGGGAAAGCCTAGTGCCACCCGATACCAGTCACAGGTAAAGAGGAGGCCTAGCCACTGACCCAATGACCCTATATCCAGGCTGTTGGAGCAGGGACCATCAAAGTCAGTTTTTCCAGCCCCTTGCCTCCAGGGTGGTCTCCCAGGGGAAGAGAGTCCACTGCCCTAAGGTACTCCACTACCCCTCTGCCTGCTAATCCTGACTCTGACCACAATCCATCCTGCTGCAATTCTGATCCAATCCCTCTTGAGTGAGATGGGGGTGACTTCACACTCACAGGGCAACCCTAGACCAGACTCTACATGCTATGTGGACTGAAGAGCCCTGAGCAGAACCCCTGACCTAAACCCTCCTCAGGGCCTGCCAGCCACACCAGCCCCAGCACCCTGACTTCTATTTGTCTCTGGGCACCAGGGGAGCAGGGCCCTCTTCCAAAAGGAAGACCCGGCCGGATGCAATCACACAAGAGGCTTTTTCACCCTCTTCCTGACCCCTAAAGTGTTCCTTCTAATTCTCCAGAGAAGGTGGTTAAAGGACACTGGGAGGGTAAACATTGGCATCATGGGATGGGCCCTGCACACAAAGGCATTTCCTCACCAGTGCTGGTAGGTAGGTAGACTGCTGGGGACACCAAGCCCCAAGGGGGCTCCACCCTCTCTCTAAGCCTCAAACCTTCTCCTCCACCACCCCCATCCCCACCCCCCAACAATGGTAGACAAGGGAAAATGAGTGAACCAAGTAAATGGCCCAAAGAAAAATTGCCCCAGCAGGGATGGGCCAGGTCAGCCTCAGGCTGACTATCCATCAGATGAGGGGGTCACTCAAAGGCCCCTACTTAAGTCCCCACCCAAGCCCAGGTACAGGTTCTCTATTTACCTTGTATACTGCCTCGGAAACCCAAGGAGGGGTCGCTATGAGTCGGGGCCGACTCGACGGCACATAACAACAACAACAACATAAGCATACTATCAAGGCTGTCATTATTTATGGATCCTGTCAAGGCTGGGGGGATGGAGTGATGGGGGAGAAAAAGGGGTAGTTGGTTCACCTCAGTGACTCACCACCCCAGAAGATGAATGTTTGTGGTTTGGCCCAGGTGAGTGGTGAGGGCGGCCAGGTAGGAAAAGCTAACATTGTCAAGATCCTAAAGTATTCTATGCTCCATCCTGGGTTCTCCGTGGGGCTGGAAACCAGATCCACTTAGGGGGCTGAAACCCTTCTTGAATGCAATTGATTTCCTGTCCCAGAGACCCCCATCAGAGACCCAAGGCCACCTGCTTCTCCTATTGTCCCTGAACCAAAGTCAAATCTCTGACCCCCTGACTCAGCAAAGGGCAGGACCTGGGTGAGCATGGGGGCAGGGGATTGCCTTACCACCCCATCAGCCAGACTGCCAGCACTTCCTGTTTAAACCAGGGGAATCCGTGCCCAGCTGGGGGTCCCATCCCCTCAGAGCCGGGTAAGACTGTGTCTGGGAAGTTCTGAGGCAGCGACCCAGGCAGGATAGGGGTGCTTGAGCTGATCCCGTGGCTCATCGCTCCCCTAGCAGTACCACCTAGGGAGTCGCCCCCCTCCAACACGCCCCGGATCCTAACGAAGCTACTGTGGCCGCACCCTCGGTGCTGCTCTCTGCCCAACCCAGGTGCCTGCCACATTACCTCGGCCTTTGCCCTTGGCCTTCCTGGCCTTGTCGTCCGCCTTCTTGGTCCGGGGGGCGGCTGCTTCGGTGCCCTCGGCCCCTGCCGCTTTCTTCTTGCGCCGCTTGCCCCGCAGCCAGCTAAAGGCGCGGCGGAGGCCAGACGGGCCGGAGCGGGACTTCTTCCTGCGCGGTGGCCCGCCCGGGCCCCCCGGC